TGAACTTCGGCGACCACTTGTATCTGAATATGACTAAAAAATCAATTAATTTTGGTGATAGGAAGACGTTCTATATATAAAATAGACGGTGAAACGAGGAAGAGCTATAGAGACAGGATACACTTGACACACTATATCTATACATAATGTCAGCCATCGCGCGTATGTTAAAAAAAAATTATAACTGAACGAATCCAAGGCTAAAAAAATTAAGCTAAATTGAGAATATTTAATCATAAAGGAATCAAAGGGTATATGAAGGGAAAGAATCCATTTTGAAGCGTGATAAACACTATTAATCATAGAAATAATATAGAGAATTGAAAATAAGCCATAATAAATTCGTTTTACATATTTTGCAACTATAAGCTGAAGAGAGATTCGTATCGTCTTAACATCAAGAATGCGTTGCGTGATAGAAAATAAGAAAATGGAACCCATGTTTTAATAACCGAGGTAAACTCAAATATTTTTTCATTAAAATTCAAAACATATCTATTATACAGGGTGTCCCGTAAGCTCATGATCAAAAGGGTACTGCGATATTCTTTGGACCAAAAGAAGACGATCTGACCTAGCTTTTATTTTAATAAAAAACGCCTAGCTCCTCTGCTATTGATGGTCAAAGTTCTTCAAAAGATTTATCTTTTTTGAAATATCGGGAGAATGGTACGATGTATTTTAGTGAAACTTGCTGTGAATTTGTTCTTATGTGAGACTCATATTTTGATGAAACAATCGAGTTCATCCGTTTTGGACAAGTGGTGAATTCTTGAGTGTCGTGGTACAAAAACTACCCTAACTTTTTAGTTGGAGAATCAAATCAACTCATTTTTTTTAGGTTGATCACTTATTCACAATTTTGTGCTCTTTGTAAAATCTTGTAGCATGCATAGTTTCTGCGAAAAAATATGTTTCTGTTTCCTTGCTACTTAACAATGTTAGACATTAACTGCAAATGCCGTGATACGAGACATAAAATAATTGTCAATCAATCTCACAAACTCGTTTTGAATGACCTTTTCTAATGAAGAAGTGACCGACATGGTCAAAGTATTCGGGTCTTGCTAAGATAATTTTGCGTTTACGCGGTGCATATTTGCAGTAAATGTCTAGCACTGCTAAGTGACTAGAAAACATATTTTTTTACGCAAAAACTATGAATGTTAGAAGATTTTACAAAGAGCAAGGCAAAAACTGATATGAATCTTCGACCGGTATAAAACGACGGGAAGAGATTTGCACTCTATCTAGAAGCTTTTTCCAATTTGGATTAGCATGGTCCAACTAAAAATCGGGCTGTTTGATTTAGTGTCGGTTAGTTTGGGTTAGTTTAGTTTAGAATAGTTTCAATTAGCTTGGGTAAATTTAGGGTCGTTTGGGTGAATTTCGAGTAGCTTGGGTTACTTTGTGTTAGCATGGATTGATTTGATTTAATTTGGGTTTGTGAAAAAATTTCCGCAAAAATCAAGTAACAATGCAGCCTAAAGAAATGCACTTTTTATGTCAATGGAAAAATTGAGTCATCCTGGGTGGGGATTTCAACGCAAAACACTCACTTTGGGCCTTCAGACTGGATAATATGAAAGACAGAAAGCTCAAAAAGGCCATCGATAAATAAGATTGGGGGTGACGTACATTCAACTGGTAAACGAACGTATTGGCCAACAAACAGAAATAAAACTCCAGATGTTCTGGAATTGTCGATAAAAACCAAGTCAATCTCCGAATCCAGCAACTAAAAGAAAATTGTGCCAACTCGCTCTTGGAAAATCTAACAGCGGATAAAAGTACAAAACAAACTGCACTCTATGGAAAACTATGACAAAACTGAGAAGAAAAATCACTCATGTACCACTAATCTTGAAAGAAGACAACGAATATGGCAAAACTGATCAAGAAAAAGCTGATATTTTCGCTACTCACCTACAAAATATCTTCCCTCCGAATGAGGCGGCAATGGGCTCAAATGCCCTTGGACCTCCACAAATAGAAAATAATTGGCACAAAACAATAAAAAAAGTTACCTTAAAAGAGCGCAAACGAGAGTTGAAAAACAACATCAACCCGGACAAATCACCAGGATACGATGTCACCATTGGACTAGTGTTAACGAAGTTCCCTACAAAAGGACTAAAAGTGTTACTACTGTTGGTTAACGCAAAATTTAGACCGATGCATGTCCCGGCTCACTGGAAAATGGCAAATATGCTAATGATTTTAAAACCTAAAAAAACAGCTACAGAAATAATATCCTACAGATCAATTTCCTTGCTGCCTATCATGTCAAAACTATTTTCGAAATAATTATCGAAGAAAAGAATCTACTACCAAATCACCAGTTTGGATTTAGACAGTGACACTCAACAATAGAACAAGTTCATCGTCTGATCGACATCATAGAAAAAGCTCTGGAAGGAGAAGAGTGTGTAATGTTCACTGGTGACTTACGTGTTTTTTTCAAAAATCTACGTTGTTTCTTCAAAGATCCAATGACTTAGTCGACAATTGGACGAAGAGATGGCGGATAAAACCCAACGATCAGAATGCAGTACATGTGAACTACACCAACAAAAGAAATTCGAGTCCAAAGAGGTTAACAATAAATGGAAATATAATCCCTTACGAAAATATACCAAAATATCTTGGCATGAACCTTGACGCTAATGCTAAATGGGTCGAGCACACCAAGATCAAACTTGCAGAACTGCAAATCCGCTTCAGACAGCTCTACTGGATACTTCGTAGTCGAAAATCACAGATTTCCATAAACAACAAGCTATCAGTTTACAACCATATTCTTAAACCTATTTGGATGTATGGCATTCAGTTGTGACAATGTGCTAGCCGTTGTCATATTTTGAAAACACTATTCCAGAGGAGCAAAGTGCTAAGAACTACTGCAAACGCTCCTTGGTACGTACCCAACAGCGACCTTCATCGTGATCTTGGTGTACCTTTGGTTGAAGAGGTCATAAAACAGATTGCATCGAAGCACAAAAATTGTCCGATATAATACGAAAATCCAGAAGTACACGGAAATTACTTGGCAACAAGCAGATTTCAAGACGCCTCAAAAGGACCAAACCGTTTGAACTCGCCTCATGACAGGGCTAACAACAAAGCTCCATAACTCACTCGTCGGTTGACTCATCAAGAGCACGACGAAGTGCAAAGTAAGTCAATTGATTATTTGTAAAATAATTATGTAAACAATTTTCAGATGTAAATTAACGGTTGGTCAGCAAGGACCAGTTTTAATAAAATTACTTAATAAAAATTTAAACAAAATCGAAAAATTAGTTTAACATTTTAATAGTTCTTGCATAGAGTCGTTCTCTAAGATTTACAGCTGTTTTTTTTAGAAGAGCACTCCTAGATCCATTGGCTTATTTTGGCTCAATAACGCGTTTAGAATATTTCCTGCATTTTTCACATTTATTATTAATCTGATCAATATATTTTCAAATAAGTAACACTATACAGGGTGATTCAAAATTGTTGAAAACATTCAACACTGCCCCCCTTCTAAACCCTGATCGCCCCGATTAGGTAATTCCTGGTTCATCGTTATATCTGGCCAAACGGTGAATGTGGACAACTTTAAATTTTCCCTGATGGCTCTTCTGATTGCTCATCAATAGTTCAACGCTGCCGACGTCGCGCGGCTTTTCGCTAGTGTTCACTTGGCGCACCACGTTGTCCATCCATTGCATCAGCGTCCTCACCAGGTTAAAGAACTTGAACAGATCGCCAGTATCGGTCAGTTTTCCTCTGCGCTGCTCGCAAACCATTTGCAAACGGGCCCACGCAGATACCACTTCTTGTTCTCTATTTGTGATTTCTTTAGCTCCGTCGCCCGCATAGCTGGCTCGAAGCTTGACCGAATTTTCTTGGATCTATTGCACTTGGTTCTGAAGCGTCTGTAGGTCTTGCATGAAGTTCTGATGTTTGCGCTGCAGCGTTGAAACAGAACCAGCATCTCGGCCCAGTTCAT